TTGCTCGAAACGGCAAAATATGGGAACAAGTTCCCAGGGAAGACGTAGGTATGGTATCATAGGTGTCCTTTTTGGCTGTTTTGGTAGAAACCTAGATGGCCCAGGTTTACCTGGCGGTCGAATCATCTACCAGGGAAACCCATCTATTTCCTCTAAAAGGATCGGCGCCTGTGTATCTTATCTTTTTTTCCAGGGGGCGAAGAGCAAAAATCAAGGGCTTTTGGCGCATCCGGTCCCCAGGCCCTGCAGCTGCCGGCGTCCTTGGCTGCGGCCTTGGGCCCGGGCCCTAAACAAAAGCCCCGGGGCGGTTTTGGCTTGAGGCTTTCCAAAAGGTTTCCCTTTGGTGTTGGTTTTCTTTCCCTGAATCAGGGCTCCCCTCAATTGAGTGGAGTGGTTTGTGTGCTACGTATTCGCTGAGTATTCGGCGGGAACTGCTGTTATGTTGCGTAGGCACCCCGCAGGCAGTCCGCGTAGGTTGTTCAAGAAAATCCTGCGTAGGCAGGTTCGCGTAGGCGTGTTTTTCTTACATTTCTTCAGAATGCATTATTTCCACCATTCTTACGGGCCATTTAGGTGAATCCGAACTGTGGAAAGGGTCATCCAAAACAGCCATGCATCACGACCACGGACCCAATTCGCCTTGATGTTTTTTCTTTTTGCGGAATCACGCATGCTGGCAGTGCTACAGCCCACGGCCCATACCCAGACACGACTCACGCACACCTCGGAGGTGTGCTTGAACGTGCCTTTCCGGGGATGGCAAGAACCAAAAAGTCGAGTGCGAACTGGCAGGAGTCTAAACATGTGTTTGCCTGGCTTCTCTCCAAGCTGACCCGCGCTCCTTCTGTTTTTACGCGGGGCTTGCCAAGGGCCAAAGATGAGGTCCGGTCAGCTGTGCGAACAAGGCCCCATGAGCGGCGCCCGTAAGCGCTTGCAGTTTGTTTGTTGAGTCCCCCGGAGACATGTCGGACACTTCCAATCCTGAATATCACTTCCTGAGTTCCTGGACGTTATACTTTTGGGTATGACCATTTTAGTGGCAAACAAGTTCGGACTTTTTCTGGCGAATCCACTCAACGAAGAAAGTCATCCTTCCATTTGCCTTACGAAACGGGCTCCCTTCGTAGTGGTTTTAATAGAGCTTTGAACAGCCAAGGACGGAGCTCACATACCGTCGAAAACGCACATCCGTCAGGATGCCGACTTTACAGCTGCCCTAAAGGCCCTAAAGGAGATTCCTTTGGACAAGGTTTTTTGTTGTTTGGGTTCCATGTTCATTTCGAGGAGTGCACTCACGTAGGGTCTCGGGCGCTTTGGGAGCCAGGCTATCCTATCCCCGTGGAGAGCGACGACTTGGTGACGCTGTCGACCAACCTGGCGGCCCTGGGCCCGAGTTCTTCCATGTTCCCCTCTTTGGGGAAGCCCCTGGAATTTTGACATAAGTCTATGCTGTACCTGTTTGTTTGGGGTATCAGTTTCTTGTAGCCATAGCTCTTGCCAAGAAAGCCCCTGAGTGCTCATGCCCCCCCACCCAGCACCTCTTGGGGAAGGTCAAAGTATGCCTGCCAACATCGTGCAGCTCAGTGGCACTGCATCACCTCGATCTGTTTGTTTCTTTTTTTTGTTGAGTTGCCCACTCAAAGGATCTACTTGGGTCACTGGATCAGTCTTTGCTCAAGACGGATTGTTTCCCAAGCTCCATTGTACAGTGCGAACGCAGAACGGGAAGCATGAATAGGGGAGGTGCCACTTCAGGCTTGAGGTCTTGTCATTTTAGATTATTTTGTTTTCTTTTGGGGGGGTTTTCAACAAACTCCGCACCTTCGCAAGTTTCAACCCTGGAGGCTCGCCCTTTCGTTGAAGCCCGCCGCTCGCCCGCTCGCTGCACGTCCTGCAGCCCTCTGCAGATTTAACGGGTGCGCCAACCACCATCACCTCGGGAGTTCCCTAATTGGGGGGCCAGACAGGATTTGGGGGTTCCACGTAAGTTTGCAGTGTAGTAGTTCAAGCACTTGGGTGAGCTTAGCAAGGCAAGAGTGGATCAGCCCGGCCAGCTGAAGATAAATATCTCGAAGGAGGGAAAGCAGCAAATAGCATCCTTGTCGGTGTCCAATCACCAGCCAGGCAAGACCGCAAGCCGTCCCATGGCCGTGGAAAGATGGGAGAATGAACAAGGGATCCAATCTTTGCTGAACTGGCTGGCAACTGAGCCTTCCAATTGAATAGGGGATTTGATTTCTTCATGACCATTTCAGTTTCTCAAGCAATACTGCATGCATGGCATGCGTTAGGCACACCATGGCGCAATGGCACATCGTGGCACATGTTTTCCAGATTCCTGAAAGGCCTGGAACAAACGGAGTTCACTCGAGCCACTGGCACACGCATATATATATATATATGTATATATATATATATATACGCATGTGTTCGCGCCCGCGTTGATTCCTCCAGTTGGGCTCGGAGAGGACGCAGCCTTGGTTCGCGGACTGCAAAGTAATTCATCTTCAACTAGCAGAAGCTAGCACGGTAGGAAGAAGTACACACCGCTTTCATGGCCCCATGGGCGTAACGGAGGCTTGTACTAAAATGTTACAAGAGCAAACAGCCTCTTTAATTGAGGTATCAGTTTTAGTATCTGGATTCTTACAAGTCTGTTTTATTGTTTTTCCTCAAATTTTAATATATAGACTCATTTTGTTGTATCATTTCAGATAGTTGCAGATTAACAAAAATGGCTTATTTATCAAACAAGTCTTTTGCCTGCCTTTATTACCTTTGGTCTTGATCCAATACAGATATTTGTTTCCACTATGATCGTTGGTTATATTAAGGGTGCTGCATCTCTGGTTTGCCGGTCACCGTCAGGGCACTGGTTTAGCTTGTGAGTTTCCAGACTTTGCTCTGAGGAAGCGCGTCCGTCCATGGCTTTCCAAGCGGAACCTATTTGGGACTGCTCTTTTTTTAGGATAGCAATCATCATTTTGGGGGGCCCCCTGAGAAAGAAACGCGACATGCAGCAACGGTCTTCAGTTCGAGCGCGAAGCTGAGTCAGCCAGCAGCTCCCCTAATCAACCTGGACCCCAAACAGAAATGTACCAAAAACAGGGCTCCCGGCCAAAAGCAGGGGACCACAAAGGAAATGCACATCAACCTGGGACCCCCAAAACCAAGGCAAACCAGGACTTGGCCCCTTGGTGTGTTCCATGAGCTGCCCTCATGGCGCGGCGGCTGGGCCAGAGCTCTGGCTCGCGACTCGAATCCGGGCGAGTTAAAGGGGCGAGCGATTCTGTGCATCAGGTAAGTGGGTAGGAGACTTATAACCACGGCTTCTTTGGGTTATAACTCCATGGTTGTTCCCTACTTGCTAAGTACCCTGCCTCTTTACGTAGTTGACCCGATGAACCATTTCCATGTGCGTTTGCTGCCAACGCATTTCAGGTCTGAGTCGGTCAAAGAAAAGCACACAAGTGGGAGATTCAGTTCTGTTCCGCATTGGCGGTTGAGTGGGGAGGTTGCTGATTTTATGGCCAAACCGTTGCAGAATGAGATTCAAGTGCACATTTGCCGTCGAATCAGTGTTGTCATGTTTGCATCACAGTTTCTGGTGAGAGATGCCAGGTGAAGTTGCCGAAATTACCTTGAAAGATTTGGCCGAACTTTGTAAGCTGTGGATTTGCTCCTTGAAAGGTCTCCACAGCGTTTACACCATTCTTCAAAAAAAACCTTTCAGCATGTTTTCCCCAGAAAGGGCCAAAGATCTCCGATTTGTTTCACAACCCATCACTTCTGCGAAGGGATTCCGGAGCGCATTTCATGTCGCCACGTAACCTTTCAGCTGTACCAGCCCCATGCTGCGCGTCGCCATGTCGATCAATCGGTCAAGGGCTAGGAAAGAGAGAGCCTTGGGACCAACTCCAGGGTCCAACTCCATGTGCTGATCAACTGCCTTGGGACATCGACGCAGCTTTCGCTTTCTACGAGGGCACCTCCCAGTGTCCCCAGGATCATCCCTGGGGTGCGAAATGGCACCGAGGTTCGAAACAAAAAGTAAGTAAAAAGTACAGTAGGGACAGAGGGTATGTCTTTATTCACTACCCCGTTTTCGGTGGATAAGGCAAGCCAAAACGAACACCCGCATTTTTGGGGGCTCCCCTAAAAAGAGACACCCCTTTGACAAGGGGTTTAGGGTTTCAAATGTTTGAACCAAAACAAGCTCTTTTCCCTGGGTCTTGCATCAGGTCGCAAGTGCCGCAGATGGAGCTTCCGACGAACTGCGGCTCTTGGAGGTGCGGCCGGGTAGGTTTGTTCAAACTCTTCAGCCAACACACCTACCGTTTGGGGCAACTTCCAGACCCTTCTGGCAGTTCAAGTGTGTTCCCGCTGGGGGTCTAAAGGCTCCCGCGGCTGCTGCACTCCTTTAGTCAGGACGAGGATGCGCCCAATTTTGGGGCCCAGCCAGAAGGACTTTGCGTGTGTCAAACGGGTGGATTTAGTCATGGACTTTGCAAGCAGACACAACAGATCGGTTCAGCCCCCCGCAGCTACCCGTTGGGAGAAAAGGCCAAGGGCAGCAGCCAAGGACACAGTGACAGTCAAATCCAGGAGTGTCGTCCACCTGTTGCAGGGGATGCCAGACATGTTTGGTGAGAGTTGCTCCTGTTGGATGGTGACTAGCTTGAGTTTCCCAGGGGCCAGCCTTGAAGCAACCTGCAGCAGTGTCTCAGGACCTTTTCGGCTCAGAGTCTGAGACATGGCAGCGCGAGTGAGATTACTTGTAGCCCAGTTTGAGAATATCCTCACGTTGCAATTCCCTGTTGGCCCTTCGCACAACGCTTCGCCATGCGGTTTTTGGCGCTTTCTGAGCCCTTCTGCCCATGTGACTCTTTTTGCCGGAGTGTATTGGGAGAATTTCGGCTGAAGCCCAACCATCGCTTTGATCGACGGCGCGCGCCAACGGTTTCGATCCTCGGAGCGTTGTGGGGCACTCAGATGCGCCAACCCAACCCAACCCCCTTGCGCCACTCCCACGGTTTGTCGCCTCCATGCGGCGCAATGCCGCTGTTGCGGCAGGCGGGGCCGCTTTTCCGACATGCTCGCTTTGTGGGCGGCGGATGGGCTTGCCGGGGATAGGCATCAAACAAAAACTTATTAGGCATCAACAAAAATAATGTTAGGCATCAAAAGAAAACTTATGCTCATTCCTATGGGGGGAGGGAAGGAAGGAAGGAAGGAAGGAAGGAAGGAAGGAAGGAAGAAAGGAAGGAAGGAAGGAAGGAACCCACCCTCCAACCACCCCGCTGATTTGTAGAAGGTTGACAGTGATTAACGCAGCCTTTGCTGAATCATCACTTCTTCGATCATCATCACCCTTTGTTGAATCATCGCTTCTTCGAGCATCATGGGGGGGGCGGCAGCCCCCCCCAACCCCCCCGCTGATGTTCACAATGTTTACAAAGATGACCGCACCCTTTGCTGAATCATCACTTCTTCGATCATCACCACCCTTTGTTGAATCATCACTTCTTCGAACATCATGGGGCAGCCCCCCCAACCCCCCTGCTGATTTGTAGAACGCTTATACAGAGCTTAACGCACCCGTTGTTGAATCATCACATCCTCGAACATCATGGGGGCTGCCGCCCCCCCAACCCCCCCGCTGATTTTCAGAATGTATACAAAGCTTAACGCACCCTTTGCTGAATCATCACTTCCTGGATCATCACTCTTTCTTTATTTCTTTCTTTCTTTCTTTCTTTCTCGCTCTCTCTCTCTCTCTGTTTTCTCCCTTTTTCTTCATGTTCATATCTCTGTATATTTTTCTTCACTGCTTGCGAAAATGCTGCGCCTGCGTCAAACTCTGCACCGTACCTTGCGAAAGTGCTGCGCCTGCCGCGAACTTGGTACCTCTTGCGAAAGTGCTGCGCCTGCCGCGAAATCTGGACCGCACCTTGCGAAAGTCCTGCACCTGCCGCGAATCTGTACCTGACCTTGCTAAAGTGCTGCGCCTGCTGCGAAATCTGTACCTGACCTTCCTCACCCCGCTGATTTGTAGAAGGTTGACAGTGGTTGACGCACCCTTTGCTGAATCATCACTTCTTCGATCATCATCACATTTCGTTGAATCATCACTTCTTCGAGCATCATGGGGGGGCTGTCGCCCCCCCCAACCCCCCCGCTGATTTTCAGAATGTTTACACAGATTACCGCACCCTTTGCTGAATTATCACTTCTTTGATCATCACCACCCGTTGTTGAATCATCACTTCTTCGAGCATCATGGGGGGGCTGTCGCCCCCCCCAACCCCCCCGCTGATTTTCAGAATGTTTACACAGATTACCGCACCCTTTGCTGAATTATCACTTCTTTGATCATCACCACCCGTTGTTGAATCATCACTTCTTCGAACATCATGGGGGGGCTGTCGCCCCCCCCAACCCCCCCGCTGATTTTCAGAATGTTTACACAGATTACCGCACCCTTTGCTGAATTATCACTTCTTTGATCATCACCACCCGTTGTTGAATCATCACTTCTTCGAGCATCATGGGGGGGCTGTCGCCCCCCCAACCCCCCCGCTGATTTTCAGAATGTTTACACAGATTACCGCACCCTTTGCTGAATTATCATTTCTTTGATCATCACCACCCGTTGTTGAATCATCACTTCTTCGAACATCATGGGGGGGGCTGCCGCCCCCCCAACCCCCCTGCTGATTTGTAGAATGCTTACAGAGCTTAACGCACCCTTCTCTGAATCATCACTTCCTCGATCATCACTCTCTTTCTTTCTTTCTTTCTTTCTTTCTTTCTTTCTTTCTTTCTTTCACGCTCTCTCTCTCTCTCTCTCTCTCTCTGTTTTCTCCCTTTTTCTTCATGTTCATATCTCTGTATATTTTTCTTCACATCTTGCGAAAATGCTGCGCCTGCGTCAAACTCTGCACCGTACCTTGCGAAAGTGCTGCGCCTGCAGCGAAATTGGTACCTCTTGCGAAAATGCGGCGCCTGCCGCGATATCTGGACCGCACCTTGCGAAAGTCCTGCACCTGCCGCGAATCTGTACCCCCGACCTTGCTAAAGTGCTGCGCCTGCTGCGAAATCTGTACCTGACCTTCCGAAAGTATTGCGCCTGCCACGAAATCGGTACCTGACCTTGCGAAAGTGCTGCGCCTGCCGCAAAATCTGTCCCGCACCTTGCGAAAGTGCTGCGCCTGCCGCGAAATCTGCACCTGACCTGCGAAAGCATTGCGCCTACCTTGCGAAAGTGCCGCGCCTGCCACGAAATCTGTGCCTGACCTTGCGAAAGTGCTTCGCCTGCCACGAATTGCATAAGTTTTAGTTGATCCCTAAAAAGTTGTTTTTTGATCCTCTGATTTTTCATTTTTAAAGCAAATCAATGAGAATAAGTTTTGTTTGATCCCTAAAAAGTTTTTTTGATCCCTCACCCGGCTTGCTGGGGGGCTTGCCGGGTGGTCAAATCGAAGCCAAGCTGGATGTTTTTTTGCTTAACTTTGATATGGCACGTGCGCTTGGCGAGCAAAACGTGCGGCCACACTTGATAGTTGCGAAACTCCAGAATTCATTTACTTATTTACTTATGATGCGTTGTTGTTTGCTAGTGAGTCCACTTGCCCCGCCTCCGCATATAAGTGCCTATTCTGGAAAGACCCTATCCTCTTCCCCGTGGCATGGTTGATTGACCTCCCGCTCACCGATTCGTCAGCTCTCCCCCACGATCTGCCGGGTTCCAAGCAGAGACACAGGGCGCCGCTGGGACTCGTCGAAGTTGCCCAGTAAAAAGCAAGCAGAGCACGCGGCGACGGACAAGTCGGACAGACTTGTCGGGAATCAGCAGTTTATCCCTAGCCCTGCCCCAACCTGATCGATTCTGAGCAAATACCCGCAACACAAGCTTCAGATCAAACCTGGCTTGAACCCAGGCAAATTCAGTCCTCCAACCAATCAGAGACCCATGCAACGCCCACCATCACCCCCCGCCCCCAATGAATCCTTGTAAATAATACTTCTCTTGACAGCTCCAAATGTATGAACTCCATACACAAAGATTCAAAGATGAAGAGTGAGAAAGTGATGGAAAGAGATGCATCATACATGCATCGTGTGAATTCTTTACTAGACTGGAAATGCGTTTAATACAATTCCCGACATTAACATATCAACAATAGGTAACTTTTTTTTCGAGCGTTTCCATGAAGCCACTGTTTATTTGCTGCCTTCACTTTTTTTTTGGAATTGTTTTATTTGGGAAATCGCTACATGTAGAAGTTACGTCGGATTCACACTGTTTTATTTGTAATAGTTTAATATGTTTACTCATGTATGTCTACAGGATTTGATATTTATTGTGTGACTGGAATTCACTTCTTATAGACTTATGTAAATGCTATATGCACATCAGCCCTGCTTCTGCTTAACTCTGAACTTTGGGGCGCAGTTGAAACTGCAGCAGCGTCAAAGCCAAGCTGGGCGTGCAACGCGTTTGCATTTTGCGGGCGGGCCTTTGCGTGTGAGACAGTAAAAGGCTTCGTGCAGATGGGGACTAGGTGCTTTGCGCGCTTTTCCAGGCGCCCGCTTTGGTTTTAGCCAATCCAATTCTCTTCAAACGGTCAATCAGCACAACTAGCTTCACTCCTACCCTCCGCCCCGTCTAAAACCAGCCTTTAACTCATGTTAGACCCTTTTACCTTCTCAGCACAACTCCCCCAGACCCAACTTAAGTCTATCCAAGACCTACCGCCCTTCAACCTAACCTTTGCCAATCCACCACTTACCTGAATCCAATTGACAATCCCATTCCAATTTGGGCTCCGAACCCCAACCAGAGCAACATATATAGCGTCTTGCGTAAGGACGTGCTAATTTGCCCAAAGCCGAGGTGTTGCTGATGCCTGTTTCTCCACCCAGCAATCAGCAAAATGGGCGATCCCAGTTGTTCAGTGGCACCCTTTCTCCTTGCTCGGCTCCACGCTTTAACGGAAAACAAGGTATTCTCCAAAACAAGTTCCTTTTTGTGCAAGGGTCACCGGTTGCAAACCGGGAATCACAAACCAGTATTCTGGCTGACGCCAAACAAGTCCGAGCTGCGAGCGCTCCGCGAGGCGCTAGGCTTCGCGCAGTTGGCGCTGGTGGCGGCCTGGAACTCCAAAGCCACACAGGAAGATTTCTACACCTTCCAGGACTGGGCCCTCGCCACACAGGCCTTGAATTACATCGCTGGCTTTCTTTCCACTTGCTGAAGATAATGTTTTGTTTTCCTCTGTTGGTTTAAAGGGAATCTATCACACCGGGAATATGTTGTGTTCCAGGGAGAGAAGCAAACGGAGGTTTTTGGTTTGGCCAAAAGTGGCCCTTTGGACCTTCAGGAGACAAATGGCTTTTCTGTGAAACCCGCAAAACGGTGGACCTTTTGCTCAAGGGCGCAGGGCAACCCAGTTGTGGGCTACGCACTTGGATCTTGGAACATGCGCTGGTGGATTTCCCTTGAACCTCCAATGGTGCGTCTCGTTTTTCGGCTTCGCGTGGAAGATCCGCTCGGTAGTTTTCGGGTTTTGTGAGCGCAACACGCCAACCAGACCTGACATGTTGGTTTGCCAATTTTGGGCACTGAGTTTTGCCCTGCCTATTAAACCACAGTGGCTCAAGCGGTAGGAGCATGAAGGACCTCTTTTGATGGTTGCGGTCTTGGGGGAACCTTGCTGAAGTGTCTCCCTGTCAAAGGCACGGACCTATGCTAGATGGGCACCCCTGGTAGATTTGAAGAGACTGCCTTCTTAAGTCAACTTGCCATCCAGGTGTGGGAAGAAGCGGCAGTCATGCTTGGCGGGGCCCACTAGGACACCTTTGGGTGGTTTCCAATGCGTTTTGGTTGCCTTGGGGTTTCTGTGGCAAGAGGTGAAGGTGAACCTTACCCCGTGGCCGGTGGCTTACAGGCCGTGGAGGCTCAAAAAAGCATTGGGTGCCGACAGCTGCTTCGGTTTCCCCACCCCGAAGCGCCGGTACTGCTTTCTGCCGGGGCGTTTGGTTCCTGGCAAACGGTTCTGCCAGGCCCGAATTGACGCCGTAACCAATCAGGTAAACCATCCAACAAACAATGTCTATTTGTTTGCCTTCGTTGGAGTCAAGAGCCCTGTTTTCCCAGGGAATCGTTTGTCCACCGGAGGAGTTCTACACGGATGCCCAGTACGGGCCGGACTTCGGCTACTACTCGACGGGCCGGATCCTGCATGGTGGAGCCTCACAGGAGGCGGGCAGAGAGTGGCAGGAAGACCGGTGCGGCTCAAGGGTTTACAGGCAGTGATCCCATGGTTCGTTGAGGTCCGAACCCGCCAACTCGGCATTGTTCTTTGCATGTGTTTTGGGTTTTCTTGTTTTTGCTGGTTCTGTTCGTTGTTGTTGGGGGGCTGCCACAAACTGCTTTTTGCTACCATGGCACGGTTTTGAACGACATCTCAGGCTTGCTGGCCAGGAAGTTAGCGTGAAGCTGACGCCTTGCCGATGCGCACCAACAGCCTGGCTATCAGAGAACCAGACATCGAACCTGGGGCGTTTGCTCAGGCCTATGCCTAGTTTGGCCCTTGTGCGTTTGTTGGCTTGCCATCATTCTCCCAATCGAAGAATCATTTGTCCGCTTTGTTGCTTCGCTTCGCCGGGTGTGCAAGTGGTGAAGCCGGCAGGATCCCACCGGCGCGGCCTACTTCAACTCCTACACCACCCAGCCTATGCGCCGGTCTCAGTCGGCAGTCGGCCCGCTTCTGCGAGCTTGAGTGAAGGTCCACTTGCCGGCGACCCAACACCTTCTCATGTTCTGGGGACAGCGTGTAATCACGGCGGTTGGGGTTTTGGACAAGGGACCCTTTCGGGGGGTTTGAAAGGGAAACCAAAAGAGCACCATTTTGGGGGGTACCCAAAAACACGCACCCATACTAATATAATGTTTGGCGGTGTGGCATTCAGCCGACTTATGCCATCGTTGCATCGACTGTTTGTCAGCGTGCCTGATGGGGTCAAGTCACATACGTCGCCCCTCATTGGTGGCTTGGATTGAACCAAACCATTCATCCAGCACAGATTTGGGGCAAGCAGGATGTAGCCAGTATTGGTGCATGTGTGCTTGTATTGTGGCCATGTCAGGGAATTGCGTCCAGAAAGTTGACTGTTCCAGTTTTGTGTTCCACCTTTGGTTGTTCTCACGCCCTCTGAGGAATAAAGCAGGCAACGTGAAATGACACACACACACACATATATATATATATATAGTGTTGGAACCTGATTAACAAAGCCCCCCCCCCGAACAATGGAGGCGGAAAACAATGTGGGCTCACTTTTGGAACGTCCAAACAATGGAGGATTTTGGGGCCCAATTCTACTTTAGTATTGCAGCCACTTCCTTTTTGCAATCCTACTTTAGTAGTGCAACCACTTCTTCCTGAGCAGACTTTTTGGAATACTACTTTAGTATTGCAACCGCTTGTTCCTGAGCAGACTTTTTGGAAAACTACTTTAGTATTGCAACCACTTCTTCCTGAGCAGACTTTTTGGAATCCAGGGGATGCTTTTAAGCAAGTGGGCCACCAATTGAAAGGGAAATGCTTTTGAGTAAGGCAACTGATAGTTTGTTTTCTGGGAGGGGGGGGCTGGGGGCTTGCAACTAATGTGGTCCCCTAAAAGAATGACATTATTGTGGTTCAGTGGGGTCTGTGAGGGGTACCCTTGTCCTGATTGTTTTGTGAATTTTTTGACACGGTTTGATAAAGAGTTTGCAGTTTCGGGGCTGGGGATGGTTTTCAAATGTCAGAGGTTTCAGCTGGCTTTGGGTTCTGTGGTTGAGCAACCAATTGAAAGGGGAATGCTTTTAAGCAAGTGGGCCACCACTTGAAAGGGAATGCTTTCAAGCAAGTGGGCCACCAATTTGTTGGCATTTGGTATGGGGTCAACATGGATTTGGGTGATTGTTTGGGGGGCGGGTTAAATTAAAATTGATGTGTTGTTTTTTTGGAATTTCCCCCCCTGGGCAAAAAACTTTCAATTATTCTGGTCCCCCTCAACAATGGGTGCGAACCAGAATGAGGAGAAACACTTTCCATTATTATAGTGCAGTTTATTTATCAAGTGTCAACATTACATTGATATACCCAAGGGGGCATTGAAGGCTGGCGCCTTCATTTGGGTCATCCTCGGCAGTTTGAACCTCGATACTTATGATACTTGCACCACAGCATCACCCCACTTGGACAAAGATGCTGAGGGACATCATCATGGTATCTCTTGGGCAATTATTTGCGAATGAGCCTTTTTGAAAAGGGGGACGCCCCCAATCAAAACCAGGGGTTGACTAGGGGTTCTGCTTGCGCCGAGCGCCGGGCGAAGAGCTGCTCAGGTCCCTGAGCCCCTTCTTCGGGCAGCTGCTCTGTGACCGGGTGGTGAGCATGTGGATCTCCATGGGCCGGCCCGCGCCGTTCTTCCTCATGGAGTTCGGAGGTGGGGGTGAGGGAGACTCGCGAGACGGCCGAAGTCTCCTCTGGTCCATTTGCCTCAAGTTGTGCAAGGCAAGTGAACGACGTTTGCCGCCATCATTTCGAAGGCCAATGTCATGTCTCTCTCTCTCTCTCTCTCTCTCTCTCTCTCTCTCTCTCTCCGTCTCTCTCCCTCTCTTTGCATTGCCATATCGAATAAGACTGTCAGAGACGCGACGGCGAGCATCGATGGCTCTACTGAGACGCGTGAATGCCAACTGACTGGAGTCTGTGGATAGGATCATATAGGCGTGTTGGGAGATCGATGCATGGGAGTGAAGCAGGGCCTTTGCCAGAAGGTAGTCTTCCTTTCATTGCCTCAGTTCGGGGAACCCAATCTGATACAATCAGCTTTGACCTTCCCCCCGTGCCCATTTGCCCGTTGAACTTTCCAGTTAAATCATTTATCCTGGCTTGATGGTGGGAAGCCGGCTGTCAGAGCATGGACGTCCCCCCCCCCCCCAGAGCAAAAGAAAACAAAGCAACAAACAACGGAGGCGGCACGGGGATGCTGGCGCGGGACATCCTGCGCCACGGGCGGAACGCGCATGAGGAGTTCTTCGCGGCGGCGCGGTACGTGATCGGGGAGCGGTCCCCTGCGCTGCAGGCCGCGCAGAGGCGCCAGGGCTTGGGGACTTGGAGCGTGTCTCGGGCCTGGCTCAAAGGGAAGCCAAGCGGGTCTTTGAGCCGTAAAAGGGGGAAAATCCAAGAGGACACCGAGCATTCTTTTTGGGGGGAGGTGCCCAACTTTTGCGCACATAGCCTGTTGGTAGGTGGTGGCGAGGTTTTTGTGCGGCAGGTGTCCGTCGGTTCAAAGCGATGGGTTCTTTTGTGTTGGGGGATGGGGGATGGTTTGGCCAGGCAGACGGCCGCTGAGTTCGTGCCCTCCAAGCTCCTCGTGGTGGATGCGGACGCCCGCTCGGCCTCGAAAGTGCGGCAACATCTCAAGGCGAGGGTGAACTTCCCGGCGGTTTCAGGGCTCCCTATAACCCCCCCTGGGCGATTCCCAATTTTAGGCAAGTGTCCTCTTCATCACTTCAGCGGGGGCCGATCGGGGGCTGGCGGCCGCTTGGGGCACGTGTTGCTTGCCCAACGTCTCCCTGTTGTGCCTGTAGTTGGGCAGGGGTTGAACCAATCAGCAACTGTCTTTTTTTTTCTCCCGTAGCCACGGGGTAAACCAAGCTCTGCAGAATCCAAGTTTAGTGTTGGCAACTCCAAGCATCTGGTAGAACAAATGGTTCTTGTAGAGGCTAAATGGGCGAGTTTTCTTGACCTCCAAACCACCAATTGGAGGGAAACCGGAAAAAACAAAGTTATTAGTTGTTTGAATATCGAGGGCAATGGCCCCCATGCGGACCCAGAGCTTTAGCATATTCTTGATGTTTTGGCTTCGGCTTGTTGATCTAATTTGGTCTTGTTTATGGGCTTGTTATTAGGGCTTGGATTGGTTTGACTCGGTCTTTGATTGGGCCTAGGTCGGGTTGGGCTTGCGTTAGGAGGGATGGAGATGTTCTTCATGCTTGGATGTTTTCATTCGCAAGCATGACAGTACGGATTGCCATTCATGAACAGACCCTACCCTTGCATAATTCGGACAGCTTGGCACTTTACATTTACACCTCTGAGCAGTGTTTTGGTGGCATGTGTACTTGCCTACAAATTGGTTGGACTACATGACCCCGCTCCGCTCTGAAAGGTTTGCCGCAGGTGCCGGCCCTTTGGGGGTTTCTCAGGCCAGGTTTCCCCCAAAATGGCTTGTTTCCTTTTGCTTTCCCGGTTCTATTGCCTCGGCCAAACAAGGAGTTTCCCTTTTTGGATGATAGGAAGCCAAAGGAAACCAACCACTGGAACATTCACCATGTTCAGACACATTAAAAATCTAAGGGGGCTTCTGTGGAAATCGGATTAGTTGATGACTCGACAGCGGAGGTGGCGGTGGTGCGGGGCGTAGTGCTGTCCAACGAGCTCTTAGATGAGTTGCTAGCTGCAAACGGTGGGCGTAGGCTCCGCAGGTTCCTCAAGCCGGGGGGGGGTCTCAAAGGGACAGTAGGACTGGTGTTCGGGTTTGTTTTCTAAATTTGTTGATTTGATTTTGAGTCCCTTGCAGGTTGTTTTCCTTTGGGCTTCCGCTTAGAATCATGCAAGAAAGGGGCGGTGTTTCATTTTGATTCATTGAAACCATTGATTTCGGGCGCGCGGTTCCTTTCTGCCAGCCCAACGCCATTGGATAACTCAGAACGACATCAATTGATTGGAGGGATGCGTGCGCAGGGAGGCGCATAGATCAGGAAGCCAACGGGTCCAATGTTTCTGCGAGGTCCCCTTTGCATGCGGGTAAGCCTTTGCATTCGACCCAGCCGCCCAACCATGGAGTGGGGCTCATAGATTCACTTTTGACCTACCAGAGTGGGCAAGAGCACGATTCTTTCGCTGGGATTCGTCAATTTCTTTCAAGCTCTTGCTTCTGTGTTCTTGCGCATGTCTGGTCTCATTGCTTTTTTCCCGGTTCTTTTACTTGTTTCTCTTTGCTTGTTGGCCATCGTTCTTCTCCTTCTCGTTTTCTTCTCCGGTCTTGTGTTGCTTGCTGCTCTTGCTGGTCTACGTGGTGTTGCGCCAGGTTTGATCTTACCCAGCGCAAGGTCGCGGACGGTTTGTCTCGATCCACATTGATTTCAGCTTGCGCTCTGGAGATGGGGAGGGATAGGAAGGCCAAGGTGCTTTGGACACGGGGCCATTTTGGGGCAAATGGGTCGGATGGGGGGTGACCTACGAAGGGAGTTTGTTGTTTTGAACCCGGCAGCTTTGCGAATGAACGAGTTTTAGGGAATGGGATGTCCGCCATGCTTTCTGTCGGCTGCATGTGCGGCGACGCCCGAAGTTTCAACAAAAACGGCCGCCGCCGAAGCTGTACGGGGGTTAAGATGCTGGCAACCTGCCATGGACTTCCCGTCCACGGGCGACACGTCGGGCGGCACGTCGTGGTTCAGGTTCGACCCGGTGCGCCTGCGCCTCTCCTGGGCGGGGGCTTCCCCGGACCAGGGGCGGTGCAAGCAGTGCGCCGCCTTTCGGGAGGCCGGCGATCAGCGCCCAGACCCACAAGGCCCCCCCCCCCCCATAGGCTCCCCACAGCACCCCCCCCCCCCCAAGAGTTTTCACAGCTTGATGGTTCCGATTCCTATTTTGAGACAAAGCCACCTTACTTGGATGTTAGCTTAAGCAACTCACTAACTTGGCCGACCACCCAAGAGAGGCCTTATGGGGAGGTTGGAGGTGGAGGCGCTTGCCGTTCCGTTTTGGGGTTTCTATTTGCAGGCTGTAGATGAGAGCTTTCTCAGTTCACCTGCCATCGTATAGTCCCCCCCGCTCGCGGTCGCCCACCCTCAAGCCCCAGCCGTTTTCCAGTCTCTTAAACATGCAGTTTGTAGACTAGCTGCAACACTCTTTTACGCTCCGCGCACTTAACTGTTCAGAATCCACTTTGGGCTGTATTAATTTTACCATTTTAGCTTTGGCTTTGTGCGAGGCATTCGGCTGGTTCCCTTCTGGAAGTTTGGTTCGCTCTTGAAGATTTGCCCGCTTCAGATTCTCACGTGTTGGTTGATTGAGCGGCGGCTGTGCAGGCAGCTGCTGCAACATCAGCAAATTGCATGGGAGGAGTGTCTGAAAGGGCACCTGCACTACATGTGCTCCAGCGGCTCCAGCCAGAGTATCCCTGCGTTTCGAACAGCAAGTTGCCTACAAGATCAGCCCCCAACCAGGCGTTCTCTCCTGGAGGCCTCCTTTTCGAATTTCGGCTCCTTGCTTCTAGTTGGCCGGCTGGTGCCTCTCAATGGCTTTCGAAAGAATCCTACCCGTGCAAATCAAGTTCCAGGTTCCGACACTTTTGCAAACCCAAGCTGCTAAGTAAAAGTGCCTCCTGGTTTAGTGTGTTGTGCCCAAATAAGCCTTTAGAAAGGCTTTATTAAGGGATATTAGGGGCCTATTGAGAATTTTGAGCTCCTCCCCCCCCTTCCCCCCCAACCGCCATGATTGTGAGTTTGTCCGGACATCATCAATATCAGTCACCTTTCACAAATGTTTGTTGCTTGTTTCACGGAGAGAGCTTAAGGGGAAACATCGTTTTGGATCTCAAAGTCCGATGTGCAAGCCAAGCCACCATATTTTGTCGGTTAGCAGGGCGTTTTATTGTCAGCAGGCGCACGTTCTGCACCGCATCGACGAGAGAGCGCTTGCACAGTTGCTGCGGAGGAGCGAGGAGGCACGGTTCACATTCCGCAAACCGAGTCAAGCAGAAGTCAAGAGTTAAGAGGTCCCTTTTGCCAACAATCACAGAAGTATACAAAGGGCCTTTGCTCACGGAATGTTCCTGGTCACTTCCACGATTGGACAGAGGATAGATTGAGATTCAACTTGTTAAAGCCTTGTCAACCAGCAAATCACCAGGTCGCCAGCCAGGAAAGCAACCCAAGGAGTTTGCCGTGGGAAAGTCACGGATACCCCCTAATTGAAAGACTCGAAGATGGGTTCTAGGAAAGAGTTAAAGCTATCGTTGGAAGACGCCTCCTGGGCCTACTCAGTCGCTCAACTCAGCACAGCGGCCGGGCGGGGGGCTCCTTCAGGAAGTGGGCCTTGTCTTCCCTTCAAATACCAAGACCATTGTTCTGCAGTTATCAGAAAATTCTAGTCAAGGGCTTCCCTCGAAACATGTTTTGATGCCCCACCGAAAGCGGAACCAGCCCTGACTGACTGTTTGCTTCCGGGTTCCACCCTCCCGCTCAAGGCACTTTACTTGGTTACTCAAGCTGGCCATGGACCATTGATAGGCATTCTAGACAACCAGTTATTGTAAGGGTGTTCGTTTGTTGGCTTGATTGGTTGTGATTTTGTTTGCTTTGGTTTTTGTTTGTTTGTTTGCTTGTTTGCTTGTTTGCTATTTGGCTCGGCTCACTTGTTTCGCATAACTCCGTGTTTGAGGCTTGTGGGGTTAATCTTTGCACGTTTTGGATACCTAGAAATGGGCCAACTCATTCGTGTTTGTTTTGGTACCCTAGCTGGGGTGGCTTAAAGGGAAACTCAACGGGAGCCCCAAAGCACAACCGACACCACCGTTTTTGGGGCGCCCGTAGTTTGACACATTGATGAATTTTGATCATGGCCCGCGTAGGAGCTTCTCACAATGGACCCCTTTTGGTCTGTATTTATAAGGGGACCACACGGGAACCAGCGATTTGATGGGTTCCCTATCCTATAGCAGGGCTCCTCGATGGGTTGCCTATTTTAGGGCAGCTTCTCGCACCCTAAGCTCCAAACACCAATCCAAACCAATTCGGGCAGCTGATTGGATCTGGACGGTAGGCGCAGGTGCTGGGAGAGGCCATCCGCTGGGAAGCCAAGAGCCTACCCTGCGGGCTGCTGGACACCCAATTGCTGCAGCGCCAGGCCGGGTGCTTGGCCCCCAATGAGGAGACTTGTTAAACACCCAAGTACCCTGCCCCTAGCGCGGGTCCCGGAAATATATGGATCTGTCTGAAAGGGGAATCCACCAGCTCGGCGATTTCCATTGTTCCTAGGCCGAACTGATCATCTTGTAACGAAGGATTGGTGAACAGAAAATATTTCCCAGAGCAATTGAGAAATGCTCCTGTTGAGTGCTCGGAACGGAAGGAGAGGAGTTTCCCAGTTTGCGTCCAGCTGGCGATCACAAAGCCTGGGGGTTCCCCACAATCCCCTTGACTTTATAGCTTTTTAGGGTTTGGTGGTGTTTCCATTTAAGCCACAGTTACACTTTTGGCAGGGGATCTCAGGACAGCCCAGAAAGTACACGGCTAAGGGCCTTTCCCATTGCTAGGTGATAATCGAGCTGTGGGAGCAGCTTGCATTTGTTTCCAGTCCCAGTCGACGTGGGGCGCCGTCTCAGCCAATTGAAGACATGCCGAGTTGACCAATCCCAGGTTTGCAAAGCTTGAGAACCAATTAGCCAGTTTGGTTCCCATTCCTTTTTGAGGACATATTCAGTATGACATGTACCAGCCCTGGCATAATTGGAATCATTGGGTTTAGATTTTCAATTCTGGTTGCCGTTGAAAGTGCCACTTTTCCCCTTCCAAAGTTGCAATCTATCGGTGGGTTTCCACTGAAAGCGCCACCTTGGCGGGTTCCAACAGGAGAAATGGAGTTATCCCTGTTGGCTTTTGTGGGTTCAAAACAGGCTTACTAACCACTTACCTGACGCACAATGCTTTAAGTGTTCCCTTTCAACTTCCCTTTGACCAGGAAATTAGGGTAAGGGGGTGGCCTTTCGCCTGGGGCTCCCTATTTCTCCATTGAAGGGTGGTTTCAAACATCGTCTTGTAGGGATTTTTGAGCTGAGTGAGTTTCCTTTAGTCAGTGATTAGTAACCCTGGTTATAACCCACAACAGCCAGAGTTCAAGTCTCCTCAGTGGAGAAAGCCCTGCCCCCTTTTTCTTTGACCAGTCCTCAGCCGCCTTCGGCCGCCTTCGGCCGCCTTCGGCTGGTCAGGTAGTGGAGCGCTTGTCGGCGGCGCTCAGCACGGAGGAGCTGCGGCGCTGCAGCCCCATGCAGCTCTGCTGCGCCGCGCTGCTGCTGGCGGTGGACGGCCTCATGCAGGAAAGGGAGTCCGCACTATCACTACTATTTACTTTTTTGATTAGATTTTTTTTTTAAAAAAAAAATGCTTAATGAGGGGATTTATCGCTTTTGTTGCTTTTGTTTTAATATCCCCTGTTGTTGTGTTTCTCTTTTTTTTTCTTCTGGGAATCTATCACTACTGCGTTTTGTTTCTGTGGGCCGAAGTATTCGACATGCAGGAAAGGGAAGACATGGAACAACAAGCCTCCCGGACTGCTTGTTTTTTTCTTTTTGGTTTTGTTTTTTTTTTGGGGGGGGGGGGGTGGGGGGAAACATGGGCGACTCGGCGGCGCTCTTCCCCACCAATGCTATTGATAATTAGAGGGCACGGCGTGGCACGACCTCCAGTGGCACCTGTGCTCCTTGCTTGTTTGCGGGAGAATCTTCTCTCAGTTCCGAAGCCCTGTTCTCCCGGTGGTTCGGAATTTGAACCGCTGCTTCCTGTAGAGTCACTGTAGAGGGCAAATGGGAAACTTTTAACCAAACCGCCGGGCAGGGAAGCCGAGCTTTGGGAAGCCTTTGGTCACTGATGTCACGAAGGTTGACTCCAGGTGCGCTGGGAAGGGACACCGGATGGCATCCAACGGAGCCGCAAGTTTCACGCATATATATACATATATTAGAATATGTTTTTGGTTTCACAGGTGTGGGGCTTTTCTTTGGCGCAGGACGACCACTCCTCCCTGCAGCTGGGGAAGCTGGCGGCTAGCGACCAGCTGCTGAGGAGGTATCGCCAGCAGGTGGCACGCACCAACGGCGCCTCGGCCGGATGGAAGCACAGGTGTCAGGCGCCAGTGATTTCTTTTGTCTCGTGTCGTTTTGTTGTTGCTTTCTTTTTTCTTTTTTTCTGGGGGGGGGAAAGGGGGTTGTGTGTCTGCAGGCGATTTTTTTCGGGGGGGGGGAGAGTCCAATGGGGTGCATGAGACACTGTTTGATGCCCGGAGCCTCGCTGAACATTTCCCTGAGCGAAATTAACAGGCGTGCCATTGTTGCCGGCGGCACCCATCTGATTCTGCGACTCAAGCATGCAATTCTTGTCCTCATTGAGAGTTGCTGGTGCCGATCAACAGGTCCTTGTAAAGTGTCTATATGCGGTGACCAGTGGTGTTGGTTTATTTTACCTATACAATGGAGGGATGATGCGGCTTCCTCAAGCGGCATGAAACGCGACACGTCCCATGGAGTCGTGGTCCCAGCACCGTGTTTCCCTGTGCCATGGTGCTTGGAGTGGTGCTTCAAATTTGGCAGATTGCTGGAGACAGATTTACTTGTACATGTGCACACACACACACTCCCACATGCACACCCACACCCACACGCACATGCACACGCACACGCAGGCAGCACACACCTTCTGCACAAAATCTACTGATCAATGGGCACGGGGGTAGTACAGAGGGTTGTTTTGGCAGAGAGTCGGGGAAGAAGAGCGAAGCAAAGTTCAGCCCGCTGGCTGTCCTCAGATCCCTTGCTAATGGTTTAAGTTTTAGTGGTGTATACATGGAAACCCCCCATAAACCCTAAAATGCCCCTCAGATATGGTTTAAGTTTTAGTGGGTATGTGTGGAAGCCCCAATTAAACCCCAAAAAGCCAAAAGCCTATTTAAGTTTTAGTGGGCTACATACCCATTAAACCCCAAAAAGGCAAAAACCTAAACCGCCAAGCTGGGCTGAGCCAAATCGAGGCACGCTGCTGCTCAGCAAGCACCGGTACCGCCAGCTGCGGCGCCTCGCGCTGCAGGCGCGCATGCGTGTCATTGCTAGGTCCCCCAGCTAGGTGCCCTTTTACCGTTTCTTTTTGTGGGGGAGGGTTCCCGTACTGGATGACCTAGATTGCCACCAACATTTCTCACCCCAAGAGCCGGAAGATCGCTCTAAGAACCCTTTTTGGGCTGTGTGTGGGGGGGGGTCCTAGGCTTGCCCTTTAAGGGTCAGAAACTTGGACCCTGCCCTCTCGCTGACGGGCGAACATTTGGATCAACTATCGCTGGCTCATTCTCCTCGAAATGGCCTTTGAATGACTATTAACCACTTGGGCCCAGGGTCCGCTTTGCCCCGTGGTCGGTAGGGATGGGCGTCACACCTCTTTGGGTTTGAAGTTTCCCATCAAAGGAACCATGAGCCAAGGGCGAGCCTGAGTAAGAGGTTTGATCCAAATATCCAGTCTAGGGCCTTGGGGGAGACATGAACAACTCACGAAGTGTCCCACAAAAGCCACTTATCTTTGGCAGCGCGTATTTTGACGGCTCCATAAGAGGGTGTCTCGCAAATCGGGTAACCACCTTGATGGCCGTGTTATTCGTGTCTATTTTTGCTTTAACTCCGTAAAGGGTTCACCCAGACGATATGTGAATCCATGGAAAGTCATGTTGAGCACCGGTCCCTTACGTGATTGAGGGCCCCTTCAGGCAGATTTGCTAGTGCGCAGATGGGCGGCATGCAGGGATCGTCCTGAACGCCGCAGTTTCTACTTGCAGAAAACTCCATGGCAACCAGGTAAGCTGACAGGTGACGTGGGCTCGCTGAGATGGACTGCGCTAATCATGGAACGCGTTGATGCGAAGATGCAAAGGCTGGGCCGACTTTGCAAGTGAAGCGACCACACGCCATGGTAGTTGTGTTGCTCCATACTTGCACTACGAACAACAATGTGCACATTAGCAATGACAATAGTAATGGTACTTCAAACATGAAAGTAACACTTGTAATCATAATAACCATGATACTATGGGAATGAACCGAGGAAGGCCTAGCAGAAAAGCAAGCCTTGGTTGCCGTCCTTTTCCGTCAGGAAGGCTTGGGCTTCGAGCAGGAGCTGCTGATGGGAAGCTTCGGACGCTTTTACAGCGACGAGGTGTACTTCGCACTGAGCCCCAGCAGGCGCCGATCGCACGCCCTCCCACCCCGAAAGGCCACAGGTGTCCTGCTGGGAGGAAGGTGTCATGAGTGACTACTCTGCCGCAGGATGAAAAGTGGAACCCAAAATGGGGTCCGCCAACAGATGACTCCCCGCAAGAACAGTGGTTTTTGTGGGCGGTTACGTTGATTTGCAGGATGTACTTCCCTGCAGGTCACCCTCATTTTTGGAGGAATGGTTTTGCGGGACCCTGTTTCTCCAGATGGCCGGGAGAGGGGGACAGCTTTTCGATGCAACTTTCTAAGAGCACTTGGACTCGAAAGGTCCCCGCGGTGTTGCGCAACACGTCGCTTAGATAGAGATGGGAGAACAGCCTGTGGACATGGGTAAGTTGATTTGTTGCTCCCCGCCCCTTGAGGATGTCGTTGCAAAAAAAGGGGCCAAACGATGGGCCATGATGCCGCAAGTGCTCGAAGGCCTGACCTCAAGCCAGTCCCGTGAGTGCCTGGCAAAAAATACACCCAGCCATGAGTTTCGCCACGTCACCATGTTCAGACTGGGGATGACTGTCACACAGCTGGGGCAACCTCCTTCCTGAGATGCGTGCGTGAATGACCCGCGTTGCTTTCTTTTATTGAACAAGCGCCTTGCCTGCTCCTGGCATGGCATGCACGCCACGAGCATGAAACACATATACATCCCGCGTACCATGCCAGGGCGTGGCTGGCTGACCAAAAAGGCCACGTGGCCCACATGCGAATCCTGTTTCTGAACCCTAGTTGAGTGATTAACTAACCTGAAGGCAAGGCTCAATGATGGGAATCCATCCAAGATGGCAATGCAATTTTGGACATTCTCAACCAGCTCTCGAGAAAAGGCCCCCCAACAGCGACCCCCCTCATTTGTTGGTTTGTGCCCATGTACAGGTAGAGATCGAAGGCGTTGGGGACTTTACAGATACACGCTGCATCGTAAATATGTATGCATATGTCAATAGTGAGTATACATGCATTTGTTTGTATACATATGTGCGTGTGTACATGTAAATGACTAAATAAGCAAGCAAGTAAGGGAATAAACAAGTCAACATATACACAGCTAGATACACAAATGCAGAAATAAACAGATACACAACATACGTAAATGAATACATATCTATATACATACTTATGTATACAGGTATAATCTGTATACATATATATCTATATATATATATATATATATCTTGATGTATGTTCCCGTCGCCCGTCGTCGCCCCGCCCTCCCTTCCCCTCCCCTCCCCCAATGGTATGGGTCCATCCAGGGGCGGGGAACCATGGATCCCCCCACCCATCCCACAGGAGGGCGGTGGGGCTGCAATAGGACCCAACCTTCATTGGCTTGTACGGTCACACCATTGGGCGGGGGTGTGGGGGGGTGGGGGGGGGGGGGGGGGGGGGGGGGGGGGGGGGGGGGGGGGGGGCCAAGGAAGACTGGATCAAACAGGGGTTCGAGCCCTCGACTGTCCTTTGGGTGTCCCTTTAAAACAACACGAGAAAAAGGTGTCCTGAAAGAAGCAAGCGCACACATGGCACACGTACATATACATATATATATATATATATATATACATCTGTTTGTCTATCTAAGCACGCACACACACACACATATATGTATATATATATATATTCAAAACTTGTCCAGCGTCAGGTGCCGGGAGCTCGGCCCCTGGCGAAACCGCCATGCGGCGCGGCTGGCTGCAGCCGCCAAGCTGCGGGGTGCCACTGCGCCGGTCTACGATCGGCGGAACTTGGGGTCCACGCTGCAACTGAGCCTCGGCCTAAATGCGACCAACTGCGTCTTGGCTTAGGTACGGATACGTCCATTTGCTTATGACTTTTTTCCCTGTGCTTTTTCCAGGGGGCTTAAGCAAATGGAAGGATAGAGCTACCACTACTACTACCACTACTACTACTACTACTACTACTACTACTACTACTACTACTACTACTACTACTACTACTACCACTACCACTGCCACCACCACCACCACCACCACCACCACCACCACCACCAGCACCACTCCTCTTGTTACGGCCACTGCTACTACCACGGTTATTACTACTGCTGCTGCTGCTGTTGCTGCTACCACTACCACCAAACATGAGTCAACGTCGCGTGTGCAACTCAGTCCTCCCGTGGCCACAGAGCAAAGAACAGTACCTGCACGAGGGCGTATGCATTCCTGCAAAGCTTCAAGAGCTAGATGGTCACGAGTTTGGAAGAGCAACTTGCGAGCTCGAATGAAAAGGCCACCAAGGAGGTTGAAAACAATGATTACTACTACGACTACTACTACTACTACTACTACTACTACTACTACTGCATCACTGCTGCCATTGCTACCACTCACCACCATGACCGCTATCTTGAATCTCTCACGTGCTTGCTTGAAAAGGCGCGCTATCCCACTAAGCAGGAAAGTAGAGCACTTTTTTATTTGGACCCAAAAGTGGTCCTATGATGCTTTGTTTGGGAACTTCTGGCGCGCTTTTTGCGGCTGATGGGTGCGCTTGGATTGTTTTGAAGACTGTGCAGGCCCTTCTCCCCAGAAAGAACAGCCACAGGTTTATCATGCTGGGCCTGACCCCACAATATGAATTGCAATTGGAGGCACTTCGGCAGACATCACACCCCCACATTCAAGTTCATTCGCCAGGCTGGGGAGAAGGGGAATGGGGGTGCCACAAAACGGGAATTGGATCAGCTGGATGAAACCATCCAAAAGGCGTCCCCTAGTTTTGTGAGAGACTCCATATGGCCAGGAAGGCGTCATTTCCACTTCGGCATGGAATTCTCGCGCAGAATCCCCGAGGAAGATCCTCGTGCAGCCGGGTCATGCGGAGTTTGTGCAAGAGGCAGCGTTCTTGGCAACATACCTTGTCTCGTCAAGGTGTGGAGTTCTTCAGCGTTCATTTTTTGTGGGTCAGCTTCAAAACAGGTTCCCGCTTTGTACCAGGTCATTGGGCAATGGGAGTAAGTTTCAGTCCGCAGGACCACCTTGGCAATCGATTCTATGAGGCATTGCAACATGAAAGAGCTCTCCCAAAGAATCGAACCTATTAATGTAATCTGGTGGCGAGATATTGGCAAGCACCCCACCATCCATTGGGGGGGAGTTAGGTTCCATGTAGTCTTCACATAGTCTTTACTGTTCTTGGCAAGTGTTTGCTTTTGGTTCTGTTCATTTTTTAGTAGGGGCTGCTAAAGTCAAGGTTTTGTTGGCTACCTAGTAGGGGAAGGAAACGGTTTTGCTTTCTACCTTGTAGGGGTTTTGTTTTCTACCAATGTCAAGGTTTGTATTTCTACCATGCCAAGGGTTGCAATGTAGTGGAAGAGCATTCTTTGATTCAGATCCCTCGAGGCCAGCGCCTTGGTGGACGAAGGTTTCATGATCTCCATGGACTATGGCGCTGACGCCGATGCGCTCCTGTGGAGCCTCAGCGGCGTTTTCGAAGCAGCCACAAGGAAGCACCACACCTTTCTGGCCAAGTTAGTTGCCTGTGAACATCCCAATCCCCATTAAAATAGACTAAAATGGGTGGTGCACCTACCCCAAAATCGTACCATTGGTTTTGACCCACAGCAATTTTAGCGGTTAGGGGGCAATCGGTCTTTGTAGCATGAACTCATGAGATGCACAGTTCTTTTTCCATGCCTGACTGGGCATCGTTCGCCAACTATCTCTTTGACTTTTTTTGGGGTTTAGACTGGCTTTCACATTCACAAGCGCTGGCCGGCTGTTGTAGATGATCAGATCTTCAGAAGCCCCGGGTCGCCTGGAACCCGCAACCTGAATTCTCAATGGGTCAAGGGGAGAACTCACAAAGGGCCCATGTCTTTCAGAACTGCAAGCTTGGCACCGCAACCGAAACACAAGTATGAAACCTGACCAGGGCCCCTGCTGGACCATATTTTGTTTTTCAAATTTGTTTGGCTTAGAGGGTATGTTGTGGATGTTGCAATCATTCGAAATTAGTGTTTTCTTTGTGCCCACTGTGGATTTCCTGTAAATTGCGTGCAAGCCGGCCAGCCACATTCCAACACGACACACAGGTCTAGAAGGGGTTTGCGCATGTCCATGTGTTTGTGGGCGGGCATCTTGCATGAGGTCTAATGTTCCTTTTTGTGGGTTGAAACATCACCTCTTCGGTTACCTTAGTATGCGGTTTTCATGGGGACATTGAAGGACCCGTGGCCAAGCCGGGAAGTGCTGTGTCTTTCTGCCTTTTGCCTGCCATGTCCAGCGCCAGGCAGGCGCTGGTTCACCCGAACCACGAGGGTATCCACATCATGGATGCCAGGGAGGCAACATCTCAGTGCTCCAGCTCTTACCTGGCCTGTCCCGGCCTACAGGCGGGGTCGCCTTAGAAGCAAGTACGGTGGATGTTGAACATGTTGCAGGTAAGGGAAGGAATCTCTAATTTTACGATGATCATGTGCGTTTGAGTGTGGTTAGTTTACTTGCACAATCTAGGGAGTTGGACAGAGCTCTGACAAGAGCGATGACAGTTCACTGTTTTTGGTTTGACAGGGAGGTGTCTTCACGTAGGAGCTGTCACGATGTTGTCGCGCCCTGATTGCCGCATTGGGTGGTATTGAAAGGTTTCAAACCCCCCAAATGGTCGTTTTCCTTGCAGTGCCCCTTCAAACCAACATGAACGGGTTAGTAGCCTCCCAAAAACAATCAAACAGACGCAGACACACACACATATCATATATGCACACACCTAGGTTACATTTATATAGATGCAGATGTATACGCATATGATAGCATGTGCGTTCTTGGTACATCTCACGCCCTTCGTCGTTTCTGGCCTTCAGGACATCACGATGACGGTGGACTTCACCGAAGCCGCGGAGGCCGGGGAGGCCGCTGGCTGGCGCACCGCCGCCTACGCCCCCATCTTCCAGCTGGAGCCGGGGACCCCGGGGGAGAGGTTTCCGGTTTCCGAGTGCTTGTTGGTTTACAGGCAGCGGCATATATATATATATATATATAGGTACACGTTATATTCATAGGCTACATACATACATGCGTGCATGCATAGATGCACGCATGCATGCACACACACACACACACACACGCACGCACGCACGCACGCACGCACGCGCGCGCACGCACGCACGCACGCACGCACGCACGCACGCACGCACGCACGCACGCACGCACGCACGCACGCACGCACGCACGCACGCACGCACGCACGCACGCACGCACCCACAAACACACACACACACACACACACACACACACACACACACACACACACACACACATCAC